ACCTCGAGCTGTGAGGAGAGGTGGGCAAGAAATAAATGATGATTATTATTAATATTAATATTTACAACACTGTGCCCAGTCCTCCGTGACAGTGTTGGGTAGATGACAAAACCTTATTGGGGGGAGGGGGGGTTGCATTCCTACCTGATCCTGAAGAATCAGGCCAGCTAAGAATCAGCTAAGGAATCTCCCCCATCCCCATGCACACACACACATCCCTGTTGCACTAAGGTGGGGGAAAATGGTGCCACTTCCCTGTCAATTTACCCAGTCCTCTTTTAAAGTCTTCTTAGTTGATAGACATCACAACCTCTTGTGGAAATACACTCCACAATATAACTATATACAGTGCAAAGAAATAATTTTATTTATCTGGTTAGATATTTCATAGATTAGTATGAGAGAGGAGAAAAGACATATCTCTGTCTTCTTTTGCCAAACTATTCATAATTTAATATTTTTATTTACTTACTTACTTAATATTATACCAAACTATCTCCTACCTTCATGCTCACATATAAATTAAAGTTAACAGCATTTATCTTTATTAAGGATTGGCTTAAATGAAAGCAGAAGTACACATGAATCCATCTGACCCAGAATTCAGTTTGAAAGGAGTAGGGCATCTACAGTGTTTGAAGATATGATTAAAGCAAGAAATGGAAACAACAACAAATAGAGCCACCACTAGACTCTTCTCTGGGCATACTGTAGAATACTTATTGCATGTCTTGGTTGTACATCCTAGCCACCCCTTTAAAACCAGGACTGACACAGGTCATTATAAGATCTTTTCTTTCTCCTTAAAACTTTACAGTTAGAAATGGTTGCCAGGCATCAAAACTACATGATTACTGGGGTTCATTTTATTATTTTTACTTTTAAAGCTCATTCTGATTTTCTACCACAAAATGTGATTATTTCCACCAAGTGAATATGTTTAGCTTCAAGGCAACAGATGGAAAGCTATTTTATTGCTGTAGATATTAGTGTGTTTGAGTGACTTTAAAATGAAAGGTTGCCTGAGCTCAGTAATACTTTTTAAAATCAGAGATGGCAAACAAGTTTATGTTTTGTTTTCAACAATGTATCTGTAGTATAGAAGAGAATGTGCAGACTGGAATTATGTGGGGGAGAAATATTGACTATTTCCCACGTCCATCTTAGGGATCTCTCAGCTATTAACCCCATGATGTGAAACTATTTAGCTCCACTGAGCAGAGGTTAGCCAGACTGTGTTTTCAATCAATTCTGAAATTGATGGCCAACCCCATTGGTTTTCTCCAGCATCTAGCTTTCAAAACCACACTTTGGAAAGAACTGTTAATAGTATCATTTTCAGTGAATTCACATTAACATGTTCATGATTTTCACTATTTCTCAGTTTATCCCAATAACCAAAGTTAAAGTTCCCATATACTTGATATAGCACTTCACTTTTGGCCCATCGTTGACGTGGCACGTTTGGCACGTCAACGATTTAAATCAAGAAATAGTTTTCTAAGATTTACAGAGACACTCGCTGGAACACCTCAGCAAGCGAGAGTCCAAAAGTGGCAGGCTCAATCCAGAACCTCAATCAATGGCTGATACCAAATGAGAGACTCCCCCCCCCCCTCGGGCACACAGAAAACTGGGCAACTTGGAAGGCGTTGAACAGACTGCGCTCTGGCACCACGAGATGCAGAGCCAGCCTTAAAAAATGGGGCTACAAAGTGGAATCCACGACATGCGAGTGAGGAGAAGAGCAAACTACAGACCACCTGCTGCAGTGCAACCTGAGCCACAATGGAGGACCTTCTTATAGTAACACCAGAGGCACTCCAAGTGGCCAGCTACTGGTCAAAGGACATTTAATCAACTACCAAGCTTGCAAACTTTGTGTTTTGTTTGTTTGTTTGTTAAAAATGCAGTACAACTGTTTGGTCTGCTCCTGACATGATAAATAAATACTTTTGGTCCAAAATTTGTTTTGTTTCAGTGTTGCAAGACTTAGCATCATTTTTGTTTGTAAGCTAGTTTCCTAATTGATGATAAAAATGTTTTCCCCCACCTTTTTGATGAAATTAAATATTCAGCAAGATTTCACATTAACACATCCAATGATTAATACTTTATTGCCCATCATTCATCATTCATAAACATTGATCTCCCTACCACTAATGCCCATGGTGTCTCTTAATTGCCCCAACAGATGCCAAATGAGCCTATGTCCCAGACTTTGCTAACCACACACCTTGGATTACAAGATTATTCTCTTTACTATCCAGTTCAGCTGAAAATAGTATTTGCTACCTCTTCCTGGTTTCCTTATATCTTTCCTACCAAGATAAGAAACCATCTTCTCACTGTCTTCCTTCAACTATAAACCCTATTCAGTACCTCCCCCCCCTATCTGCATGAGATAGGTTCCCAGATACCTGAAACTACAAATAATAACAAACTCTTATTATTTTTGTGTTGTTGAAGGCTTTGTGGCCAGAATCACTTGATTATTGTGAGTTTTCTGACATTTTGGAAAACCTCTGCCAGAGTAACAGTACAGGGAGCGAGCGATTGTCTTTCCTACTATGAGGCATCTGCCTGTGCTCCAGCATCCAGAAGCAGCCTTTGTATTATATTGCAAGATACAAAAGCACCTATATTGGCAGTGGGTAGGACTCAATGCTGTGCTATTCATTGCTAAAATGGTGGGACACAATGTAGCTTCCCTTTACATGACCAAAATTGTGTTGTCAAAGGCTTTAATGGCCGGAATCACTGGGTTGCTGTGCGTTTTCCAGGCTGTATGGCCATGTTCCAGAAACATTGTCTCCTGACATTTTGTCCACCTCATGGCAGGCATCCTCAGAGGTTGTGGGGTCTGTTGGAATCTTGCCTAATTTCCAACAGACTTCACAACCTCTGAGAATACCTGTCATAGATGCAGGTGAAATTTCAGGAGAGAATGCTTCTGGAACATGGCCATACAGCCCAGAAAACTCACAGCAACGTTATTTATTTATTTATTTATTTATTTATTTACATTATTTTTATCCCACCCATATCAGCCTGAAGGTGACTCAACTCTTCTTATTTTCAATGGGATAAAGACAGAGGTACTAAGAAGAGGTTGTAGTTTACACAGGAGGACCTATGTGGCTATGTGAAGCCATTGATATTGGTCCCACAGACATGGAAATCATACAATATGCCATTCCTTGCTATTTATTCATTTTTGAAAAGTCTTATCAAGACATTTAAAAAAAGAATAAGTGGATATGGTTGAACAGTTTTGCATAGCTCTTTAAAGGAAAATAATTTTGTGTACATTTATATATTTATATGCTTTTGAAATAGTCATCTAGATTCCCCATACAGGATATAAATATTTACTATATATAATTTGTAAATTTTAGGATACTGATACTTATATTATGGCAGTACCAAAATATAATCTATATCTGTATTCTTACATTACAGCTTTCAATCATTAAGCCCTAGTGTACTTTTGATTGACCAATCACAAAACACTAAATGGAATAAGGACAGTAGTGACAGACACACTGGAAAAGAAGATAATGCTCGGTCAGGTGGAAGGCAGTAGTTAAAGAATTAGACTGCAACACAAGTGGTTTATTCAGTCATGGAAGTCACAGCCCTGGCCTTTTTAAATTCTCAACAGGGCAGTTGATGACCTGGGATCTTAGAGTGCTCTTCTTTGTATGGCCGTTGTAAACCAAATTTGACTCGGTGGCAGATAACAACAAAAGCTAATAAGGTACATGTCTTCTCATGTACAAATGATTATCCTATATACTCCTGTATAAGTCTAGACATTTCAGCCAAACTCACCCCACCTCCTCAAAAGTCACCAAAAAACACTGGGTTACCATACCCATACCCATGGGTCAATGCAAGTGCTATACTTTAACTGTCTTCAAAAATGGAAAAAAACTCCCATATTCTAAGTAAAGTGGCAAAAGGCAAGAACTTAGTCCATCCTGTAAAAGCCCTAATCCCTCTGCTGTCTCTGCCATGATGCACTTCTAGCTTTTTGAATGCCTGGGCAGGAAAATTGAGTCATTGGCCAGGGATGGCTCATCCCTAAGGGACTATTGGTGCTTTCCCCTCTTCATGGAATAACCCTCAAATTATCCTTAGGCATTTTGGTCCCAAAGCTTGTCCTCAACGTTTACTTGTGGTCATCTTATCTGTAAGTGTAGTAAATTCTTAAGATGGGGGAAAATAAATAAGAAGCTGGAAGGGAAGAAGATGGGTTGGGAGGAAGAACAATTTTGCATACTTTGCCCCTCAACCCCAGAAATAACGAGACAGACAACCGTGATATGGATTCAAATTGGGCAACTTTTATTGAATGTTACCTATTTAAGTTCAACTGAACTAAACTATGTGTCTAGGAACTTGGTGGCTAGCCGAGGCAGCATCCTCGGCTATTTAGTGTGTGATATCTGTGTGCCCTGGATCCCCAACCGGGCAACCTGAAGGTAAAAGTCTGCAGAAGCCTGTATCATATTAATGTAATCAGCTTCTCCAAATTCTGTGCCAAGTGATGTCCCCTCACCCATTTGGTGACTTCTAGGTGAGTGATTGTTGTACAGTGCCCCCCACCCTTAAGGGGTGCCTTGTGTATACCTCCATGTCCGTGTTTTCCTGAACTATTTACGCCACAGATTGGGGGGCAAATGTTCATTTCGCCCCCATCCCCCACCAAGCCCCTTAAAACCTCCTGAATGCCCAACTGCAAATCAGCCAAAAATCGTGCGTTACCCAAATCTGTTAAATGTACACCATTATAACTGTAAAACTGTGTTTTGTCATGTGTAATGTCTCCATGGTGTATGTAAGATCCCCCGCCCTGTGCCAAAGCCGTGCGCATGGCCCGGTTCACACGCTGTCTGGCCTTCTCGAGCTTCCTGACATCACCGCCTCCTGGCCACCGAAGGCGTGGAATGATGGCCGACCAAGTGATGTGAACCCGGGGCCATGCCTGCCAGATCTCAAGAATGTCAGCACGGGCTTGTAGATACAGGGCCCTGCCGTGAAGCAGGCCCAGCTCGTTACCTCCGATATGGAGCACTGGCCCAACGAAGGCCCCGAACACCCTTCCACTCGACGAATGCAGTGGAAGTGCAACCCAGATGCTGGCCAAAGGATGAGTTCCTGGCGTATCTCTCCACCCAGTGGACATAATTATGCCCACAAACAAGGATTCTCCATCTATGCACCAGCCTGGCAGTCCCTGCAAAATAAACAACAAACAAACACACGCTGAGCGAACCTATCGCCTGTAAGCGTCCTAATTCCCCCTGCTCATTAATTTAATGGCCACATCATTATAACCCAAGTGAGCTGCCAAAGATGCCGCCCCTATACGAAAAGAATGAATGCCAAATTTATGGGCACCCTAACCCCAGCATCTTCGGCGCCCTATCCGTGATGGCCCAAACTGAGGGGGTGGAAACTTGAAGGCAAAACAAATATCCCCTCGACTCAACCCTAGCTCAGGGTCCCTGTAACTAGCTACCACAGCCGGCACGCGCAGGGGATCACGTCGGACTTAACATTTTTTATTCCTATGCTAGTTGGACCCACCACAAGAATATAAAAACCCTCTGAAAAAACCTTCCCATAGGTACTTAACTGCCCCCCTATCTGGGTACTGATCCAGCCAACCTTCAACTGATTTAACTTAATTGGGCTGGGGCCCTTGTGAAACTGCGGCCTGTCCCGAAGATTTCTTACCGAATTGGGTGTCCCTAGTATTACCTCTCGCAGCTCTCCCCTTGAGGCAATTTCGGGTGTCCCTAGTATTACCTCTCGCTGCTCTCCCCTTGGGGCAATTTCGGGACGGGTGTGTCCCATAACAAATAGAGCACGAGTGCGCGTATCGACAGTCCTTCCGTGAACAGGCTCCCTGAGCCACAAATTCCCAGCACAAAGGCTTTTGGCGCTGGGACTGCAGCTGGGGAGCCCCCTGCCGAGAGGGCTGTCCCGCTGTGTTCTGAATAGTGTGCCCACTGTCCGCCTTCAAGGCAGAGGAAGCCCTAGATGGATTCATAACTTCAATCCAAATTTGATCGTCGATCAAGTCCCAGCGTTTGTCTGGGTGGCAAGCCGCTTCGGCTCTAAAGCGCCTATCATATTCTAGCCAAGCGTTGGGAGGGCCGCTAACATAAGCCTTGTTAATAATATTCTGATACTGCCACAAAGCTGTAGCCCTTTCCGGGGCAGCATCAGAAAGCAGATTTGCGTACATCGTGAAACAAGGGAGCCAGTTCTCCCAATTCTGCTCAACCTTGCGTTTCTTAATTTTTTCCTTACTGTCCTCATCTAACTCCTCCTTCTCCTTCTTATCAAGATCCCTAAAGTATAGAGAAAAGATATCGATATATTCATTTCTCAATATCTTCTCCATTGTTTTGGCTGCCAAATGGGAACCTAAACCTGAAAGACTGACAGTAGGAGTCGCCTGCGGTGGCCATTTTGCTGTGCCCCAAAATTTGTTGGCTTCCCCAGTTCGGGCAGATTCCAAGGTGACAGTAGCCGGTTTAACCGATTGAGTATTGGAATCATCCCGATTACCCCCTATACCGGGTTCCGACCCACCAGCAGACTGAATCCCAACTGCAGCATGTGACTGAACCCCTACCACCGGTTGAGCCTGCCCCTGGTCCCAGGGCCATGTGAGTGAGGTGGAAGTACTTGCTGATGTGAGTGTGTTGGAAGTACCTGCTGGGACAGCCGTCACCAACTGCTCGCGCCCCGCTACATCAGTGGAAGCAGCAGTCGACCCCACCGACTGAGTGGACCCGGCCACGGCACTGGACGTGGAGGCCAATGCCGCGGGCTGACTGGGTCCGGTCACAGCAGCCGCCAAGGACCCGGACGAAGCCTGCACAGATGGATGTGCTTCTGGGCTGGTGATGGTCTGCACAGCCGAAGACACCATAGAAGAGCCCTCCGCGGCCCCCAAAGCCGCCGGTTGGTCAGGAAGCCGGACCGCCCTTTCAGCCCCCACGGTTGAGGCCGACTCTAAAATAGAAACCCGGGACAACAAAGATTTAAACAATTGCTTCTTGCTTGCCCGGCGAGTGGGGCCTGAACCAGCCCCACCCAACTCAACCCCCCTATTCTTTTCAACTTGAGTAACACGCTGCAGAAGAGCCTGTAAATCTTCCATCGATACGCCGTCTTCATCCGACGATGACCCGTCCTGACGTAAAGGGCGCTTGTGACCCGTCTTCTCCGCGGGACCCTTACCCTTAGGGCCCCCCTTGTTGTTCTTCGAAGGCATCCTAAAGAACAAAGGGGAGTAGAAGATACCAATGAGCACTGGCACGCCCACCGGGCACGTGTGTCCCCGTAGCAGCCACCCCACCTGCCAACACCGTGCTGATAGAGTGCTTATAGCCCCACCTAATCATAGAATCAAAGAGTTGGAAGAAACGCCATGTGCTTTCCCACATATCCCACCTATGGCGCCCTATTGTATACGGCACCACATAACCATAGAATCAAAGAGTTGGAAAAACCATGCGTCGTACCCCATCTCCTGCTTATGTCCCTAGAACAATAGAATCAACGAGTTGGAAGAAACCCAAGGCGCCAGCATCCCATGCCTATGCTGCCTGGGCATCCACTTGTTAGTGACCTGCACAGTGGCAGGGTTAACACAACAAAATATACACCATGTGTCTTTAGCCGCCACCCGACTGTGGCGCCTTAGAATAATAGAATCAAAGAGTTGAATTATGTAAAAAAACATTGTTTTGAAATTGCCTGAGAATCCATATTTATTTCTAGCTGGAGAAACCAAGTAACAGAGCAGGTTGACATCAGCTATTGAGCCTAAAGTTACAGTGTTTGGTCATATAGCTTCCTCTCCATAAGTCTGCTTGCTTGTATAACAGATATATTATTTGATATTTGTCTCTATAAGGGAAGTTATCTGATTATATGTAATAGGATAACCAATTATATATTCAACTATGGAATAGGGTTTGACAGGGCAGGATTTTAAGACATGTGAAGTTTCTGTTTTGCAATACCAAACATGCTTGTTATTACGAAAGATATTTTGAATTTCAATGTGGCAATTTAATAAAATTCTCTATGAATTTTTAAAATTTATTTATTTATTTACAGTATTTATATTCTGCCCTTCTCACCCCTCGGGGGACTCAGGGTGGATTGCAATGTACACATATATGGCAAACATTCAATGCCAAGACATACAACATAGACAAGACAGTCAGAGGCTACTTAACTTTTTCTGGCTGCCCGGGGAGCTGTCACTTTCATTGTCCATCTGCGACACTGATGAAGTACTTCCGCATTCCCTGCATGTTTTTTGCTGGAGTGCATTGCTGGACTCTTTTTATGGCATCGTAATTTTTTGTTAAATTAGCCTCCCCACACATAGGTGGTACCTAAATTTCCTACTTGACAGATGCAACTGTCTTTCATAGAATCATAGAATCATAGAATCAAAAGGTTGGAAGAGACCTCATGGGCCATCCAGTCCAACCCCCTGCCAAGAAGCAGGAATATGGCATTCAAATCACCCCTGACAGATGGCCATCCAGCCTCTGTTTAAAAGCTTCCAAAGAAGGAGCCTCCACCACACTCCGGGGCAGAGAGTTCCACTGCTGAACGGCTCTCACAGTCAGGAAGTTCTTCCTCATGTTCAGATGGAATCTCCTTTCTTGTAGTTTGAAGCCATTGTTCCGCGTCCTAGTTTCCAAGGAACAGAAAACAAGCTTGCTCCCTCCTCCCTGTGGCTTCCTCTCACATATTTATACATGGCTATCATATCTCCTCTCAGCCTTCTCTTCTTCAGGCTAAACATGCCCAGTTCCCTAAGCCGCTCCTCATAGGGCTTGTTCTCCAGACCCTTGATCATTTTAGTCGCCCTCCTCTGGACACATTCCCGCTTGTCAATATCTCTCTTGAATTGTGGTGCCCAGAATTGGACACAATATTCCAGGTGTGGTCTAACCAAAGCAGAATAGAGGGGTAGCATTACTTCCCTAGATCTAGACACTATGCTCCTATTGGTGCAGGCCAAAATCCCATTGGCTTTTTTTGCTACCACATCACATTGTTGGCTCATGTTTAACTTGTTGTCCACGAGGACTCCAAGATCTTTTTCACACGTACTGCTCTCGAGCCAGGCGTCACCCATTCTGTATCTTTGCATTTCATTTTTTCTGCCAAAGTGGAGTATCTTGCATTTGTCACCGTTGAACTTCATTTTGTTAGTTTTGGCCTGTAAGGAAGCATAATCCCACCTAAATGGGATTACCAAAATTAAGTAAATATGTATGTTGATCCACCTAATTTCAGCATAAATTATAAGGAAGTCCCAAAACTGCTTGATTACACTGCCACCATTATATATATATAGAGATGTTGGAATTGAAGTCTCTATTTATCCCTATCTGCGTTGTGAGGCAACTTTGGTAGAGTGGATTGCACCAAATGTAAAATCAATGGAGGAGGCAGATTTATAACACAGAGAGAACAAGTTTATTGTTAACAGAGCGTAATTGTTGCAATACTAAGATGTTGAACTTGGCACAAACTTGATAGTTACAATATGGCTTGGTAGAGATACATTCAGGCTTCTGATGTTACAATCCTTTAAACTCCTTCTTCAGTGAAGTACTTTATTATTTCAGTGTTCCCTGTTGTGAATATTCACTCTGTTTGTCCTATACCGGATCAAACCACCGATCTCCAGTCTTTCACTACTGGGATCCCTAAAACCCCCTTTGTTAGATTCTTTTTAACACAAGCAATCTAACAAGGTTTCACCTTCAGCTCCCTTGCTGAAGAAATATTCACAAATGCTAAGAACTAACTGAATTTATACTGCTTCACCACACAGAGCCCTAACTGACTCCGCTCCTCTTCTCAGGGTCTCATCCTCCTGACTGACTATTAACTGTTACTTTCAAACCTTTTTCTCCTTAAGCTCCGCCCACCTTCTCTTCTGCCTTGTCACCATGGCAACCTATCTCTCACAGCTAGGCCATGGCCACGCATGTAAAACATAAATACAGTTTAAACACAGTACAATAAACCCTTTATAATAAACACTTCTCTACATGGCCCATCTCTCTAATCTGTCAAGATCGTTTTGAATTCTGCTCCTGTCCTCTGGACTATTGGCTATCCCTCCCAATTTGGTGTCGTCTGCAAACTTGATGATCATGCCTTCTAGCCCTTCATCTAAGTCATTAATAAAGATGTTGAACAGGACCGGGCCCAGGACGGAACCCTGCGGCACTCCACTTGTCACTTCTTTCCAAGATGAGAGGAAGCATTAGTGAGCACTCTCTGTGTTCGTCCACTTAACCAATTACAGATCCACCTCACCGTAGTTTTGCCTAGCCCACATTGGACTAGTTTCCTTGCCAGAAGGTCATGGGGGACCTTGTCGAAGGCCTTACTGAAATCCAGGTACGCTACATTCACGGCATTCCCCGCATCTACCCAGCTTGTAGCTCTATCGAAGAAAGAGATCAGATTAGTCTGGCATGACTTGTTTTTGATAAATCCATGTTGACTATTAGCGATGACTGCATTTGTTTCTAAGTGTTTGCAGCACGCTTCCTTAACAATCTTTTCCAGAATCTTGCCCGGTATCGACGTGAGGCTGACCGGACGGTAGTTGTTTGGGTCATCCTTTTTTCCCTTCTTGAAGATTGGGACCACATTGGCCCTCCTCCAATCTGCTGGAACTTCTCCCGTTCTCCAAGAACTCTCAAAGATGGTTGCCAATGGTTCCGAAATGACTTCCGCTAGTTCCTTCAATACTCTGGGGTGTAGTTGATCTGGCCTTGGGGACTTGAACTCATTAAGAGCGGCCAGGTATTCCTGGACGACTTCTTTCCCAATTTGGGGTTGGATGTCCTCCAATCCCTCATCCACTCCATCTTGCTGAGGTTGAAGACTCTCTTTTTGTGAGAAGACCGAGGCAAAGAAGGCATTAAGTAGTTCTGCCTTTTCCCTATCCCCTGTCAGCATTGCCCCATCTTCTCCTCGAAGAGGTCCAATCGCCTCCTTGTTTTTCCTTTTTCTACTGACATAAGAATAGAAGCCCTTTTTATTGTTTTCAATGTCCCTGGCAAGTCTGAGCTCGTTTTTTGCTTTAGCCTTGCGGACCTTTTCCCTACAGGTGTTGGCTATTTGTTTGAATTCTTCTTTGGTGATTTCTCCCTTTTTCCACTTCTTGTAGCATGTCTCTTTTGTGTCTTAGCACAGTTAGAAGTTCTTTGGACATCCATTCTGGCTTCTTTGCACTTGTCCTATTTTTTCTCTTTGTTGGCACGGTTTGCAATTGCGCCTTGAGTATTTCACTCTTGAGAAATTCCCATCCATCCGTAACTCCCTTGTCTTTTCGTATCTGTGTCCACGGAATGCTGCTCAGCGTTTCCTTCATTTTTTGGAAATCAGCTCTCCTAAAGTCCAAAATGCGGGTTTGACTTGTCTTAGTTTCGGCCTTCCTTTGTACCTCAAATTGCAGGAGCACATGGTCACTTGCCCCTAAGGATCCTACCACTTTGACCGCATCGATCAGGTCCTCCGCATTTGTTAGGATGAGATCAAGAGTAGCCAATCCCCTTGTTGCCTCTTCTACCTTCTGGACCATGAAATTGTCTGCAAGGCAAGCGAGGAATTTGTTGGACCTTGTACTCTTGGCCGAGTTTGTTTTCCATCAAATATCGGGATAGTTGAAATCGCCCATGACTACTACATCTCTTCTCTGTGCCTGTTTGGTCAACTGTTGGCAGAAGACTTCATCAAGTTCTTCCTCCTGGCTTGGGGGTCTGTAGTAGACGCCTACAACGACATCTTTTTTGAGTCCCAGTTCCCTTGATTCTTATCCAGATGCTTTCAAGCTGGTTTCCCAGATTGCTGTCTTGAATCTCTTCTGCAGCATAAGAGTTTTTGACATATAAGGCTACTCCGCCTCCTCTCCCCTTTGTTCGGTTTCTGTGAAAGAGGTTATACCCCTCGATATCTACATTCCAGCGATAGGAGTCATCCCACCAGGTTTCAGTGATGCCTATGATATCATATTTGTGGTGTTGTGCTAAAAGTTGGAGTTTGTCTTGTTTATTTCCCATGCTCTGTGCATTAGTGTAAAGACATGTGAGCCCCTGAAATCTTCCCTTGAGCTGTTTAATTGGGATTATTGTGCTTTTGGTACTTGGTCCTTGTTGTGTTTGTGCAGCCCTCCATTTAGCCTTTTGGCGATTCCCAGACATTATGGGTAAAGTAGTGTTCG